TCTAGAAATGGAACGAGCCAGTTGTAAGAAGAATTCAATCAGAGGCCCCTGTGACGAGTTGTCAAACAGATCTGTCTGTTGTTTTTGTTAATGGAAGGAAAGAGCAGTGGGAAGACGAGGCTGTATACCGTAAAAAGAAAAACTAAACGTTACACAAGCTAATTGTTCTAAGTGGGGGAAAAAACCATCATAGAATTAAACTTCTAATACCTACACTACTTAGATGTATATCGTTTAAAGCTAGTTTGCAAATACTCAACATGGAAAACTATAGCGTGACGAAAGTTCTAGCCTCGGGGCACAATGAGCGTTTGCAACAATAAACGATACTTCAACGATTTGCGCTAACCCGGCGACAATTACTATACCCAGGGTGAGCTAAATATTGCCTTGTGAGAATGGGTTTGCGAACACCAGAGCAGACACAGCTTCAGGCTTTTAAAGCAAGCGGAGAATCCGAAGAGGGGCATTGTCGACACGCAAGAATAGAAACGGAACACAGGAACACAACGCTGAAAAGGACTTAGAAAGTGAGGGAGCCAGATTTCTAAAAGAGAGCCGCTACAAGGATCGGTAAAACACTAGTTTGATATTTGGAACGCATCAGAGACTTTCAAGGTTGTAGAAAAGAAAAATTCTATGTTCTATGTGAGGAACGCCTGTGTTTAGTGCATCTGTTTTTTTACGGAAGCTCAGTTAAGCAGAGCTAATAAACCGCTTGACTTGCTTTACATTTGTACCACATGACATATGCCTACCGGCTTTACAAACCAGTTTCGACTTCACGGCAAACACTATGGATAATGTATGCCAGCTTCATCAGTTGTAGCTCATTGTACCTCCCTTACTTTCAGTGCGCGTCGCTTGACATCAGTTTCCTGCATTCTGTCGTGATCGAAGAGTTACCTATTTGTTTCCCTTAAATGCTGTCACGAAGATTCAGGACATTATTTTACATTGACATCAATTATCCACGCTTATAGCGAGCTCGTACCAGTGGTCCTTGAGCTTAGTATTCAGGCACTATTTAAAAGTAAACTAAGCACCGCTGTACACATAGGGAATGAGAGAAGACAGAATGAAGATTATGTACAAACTTGGGACCTTATTAAGCTTGCAAATGCTTATAAACAGAGTGTGAAGTTATATATTGGCACTCGAACGAAAACTTTTCCTCTCATTTACGTTAATTTGTTAACTCAAGTACGTTGACTCAAGCATTTCAAAAACTGCTAGCAAGATGACCCACAGTGCTAGCTTTGGCCTCCTAGCATAGGTAAGTTCGGAACTTTTAAGCTCCTCGTTAGTCTTATATCCACATCCACTTTCTGCATTGTAAATTTACTGGCTATCATCCGTTGCTGTCGGTTGATTTTTTCAATACCAGTAAGGGCGTCCACGGTTAAAAGATGCGGTCGCTTTTTCTCAGATACGGAAAATATTTGACAATTTCAAATTGCACTAACGAGTTGTTCCCTTCATACGATGAATGCGTCCGATATGTTCATCAACTTTCTTTATATATATATATATAAGGAGACGGATATATAGGAAGGATACCAGCCAGATTATATATGCAGACCTACCGCGCTACTATAACAGTACGTACTAAGAGACCCTATGTTCTTTTTGTAGTAGACGCTCTGGACAGGTAGTGCTTTAAGTTGATCTTAACAAGGTAATGGAGCACATACCAACGAACGATGCATACAATAGTTAAACCCGAAGCAGCCCTCACAATACCATTTCATTCATCCCATCATTAGAACAAAAAATATGAAGACAGACGGAAAGCAGAGGAAGAGCCCGTATGAGCCTGATGATGGGTTGAGCGATGAGCTTTGTATGACGAGAGCCATCTTTATTTAATTTGCCATTTTCCTCCAGAATTGCAACGCTATTTAAACGAGGCGAACATTAACGATCGAACGTGTGCACCCGGTTCTTGTATTCATTTTTGTGCGAAAGTTCCTGCCAAGTTCGTTCTAGCGCTATCTGAAGCAATTGAAGATGCTGTAATACACTAACGCAAAGTAACATCATATATAGGTTATACGGTATTAAATAGCGGATGAGATACTGGATAGCGTTTATATTGCGTCCATGCAACGAATAAGTTTCAGTTGTAAAACCTATTCTTTGCCCAGATTGGGCACTGTCGAGAGATCTTTGATCGGTTTTCAAGAAGGCTGCAGAAGTTAACGTTATCCGAGAAGTTTTTTTTGCTATGCGAATAATTTATATGCATATATATATATGCACCACTACTACTGGGTAAAGATAATTTTCCATATGACGAAAGCACATGGTTTTGTCGCTTCTACTAGTTGATGGCAGTTGTCTTCATGATAAAAGATTTGAAAAGCAGAGCATCATTGGCAATATCTTGTATGCGCTATGCATATGCTTGGAAGACAATCATTCGTTGGGTGATTTCCATCATTTATGCTATTGCAATGATGACTAGTCTGTTGCGGTGAGCCTTTTTGCGGTTTTACCATGGTAGGGTAAAGGTGGAGAATTTTTAGAAATTCCTCAAGACGACAACATCAATAGTGGAAATATGCATGCAAACCTCTTATATGAATATCGTCGACGAGCGTTTCTGGAACTCCATTCCTTATTCGTATTTTGCCTATCTGCCTTGATTTGAAGGCGCAGCTACATCAGTATCAGCGGGAGCACCAGTAGCCGTTACAAACAGATGGAGGCAAGATGAGATCTTGCTACCAATGAAGGCCTACAATGTGATAGGCGGCCTTAGAGAGAATAGCCGTTATGGGTGAAGCAGAGTCGCTCGGGCAGACGGGGGCAGCCGTGCCAAAGAGGGAGGTACTAGGGCAATTGCCGCGGGGCCGTTCTGCAGTGGATTGGTTAAATGGGGGCGGGGGGGGGGAGGGCGAAAGAGCAGCTTTCGGTCGTGTCGCACAGGATGCGCGGTGCCGACTCTGCTCAACGCTGGCCCCGCTTCTGGGTCCCTGTGCCTTTGTAGTCCTTGCGTGTCTGTGTGTGTTGTGTTCGCTTCCGTTGTATGCTGGGAGTTTTTACGTTGAATGGATGCGTGTGGGGATGTCTGCTTGTGTGTGTTGCGAACGTTGGCTGATTGTTGGCTGAGGGCAACGGATAAAAGAGAACTTTGGCTAGATGATGGCTCTTTGCACAAACGAAGGCAAAAGCATGGTAGCTAGCAAATGTCAAGGCAGCCCTAATGGGGACAGTTGGCCCTTGCCAAAGAACGTCACAACTTGGCAAGACAAGCTGTTACGTATCTGCCTGCACCGGACTTTTTCGAACCGTGGGGAGATACGGTAAGGAACAACAATAGCTACAGCATAAACGAGACTGTCATCTACAAAGCACTGCTATGGCCTTCCTTTGGTAATGTTTAATTAAAACTTCGTTCACGAATAGAAATCTTGTAGAAACTGCCAAATGAGGGTGCATGTTCATGCGTTTTGTTACTTTTATAGTTCCATATCGCACTCATACCTATACTAATCTTGCTGCAAAAAAAAAATGTCTGGATACAGAACAGGGTCAGTAAGCCAGTGATGGAAACAATTATCAGTAAAAATAAAAGCTTATAATTCAATAATACAAAGGTATTTCCGCATAGCTTTCGGATCACGGAAGGTACACGTGCAATATTTCTTTGCATTTGTTATACAGTGTTAGAGGGACAGTTGCAACATATTGCATGATGTAGAAATACGTTACACTAGGTAATCATATACACTCTGTTGAGAAGTGTTTTTTTGTGAGTGAAGCGAGAAGAAATTTCTATCCATTAAAATGTTCAGAAACAACGAGATGCAGAGGGTGTCAATCTTTTTCAACAAATAACGGACTTTTCTGTCATACGTACTCAAGGTTAGAACCCAAGTACTGATTTCATGGTTCGCCCAGATATCGCTAGGATACACATGACCGATCAGCCGGCAAGTGGAAATGTCCTCCATTTATTATCCAAAGAGATAGCACGGGATATTTCAACATGCTTCCGGAAAGAGATTACGCTAGGCCAAAAGATGGAAAGAAAACAATTGTTACAATATGGAAAAAAGATCTTTATTTTTTCGCAGTTGTGCGCCTTCTCCAACGACGAAAAGCGACACAGTGTATACCTGTAGTTGGCACAAGACGAGCGTCCGTGTCACAAAGGGCTAGTGGGGGGTTACATCAATAAATCACCCAGTCATCCATTAAACGTGCCAGCTTGCTTTAGGAGGGCAACACCATGTTTGTTCTAAAAGCACCAAAATGTCAGTTTCATGCGACGGTTCTGTAAAAAAAAATTATGTGGCCTCCATTACGATCCTGCCGCAACAGACGACTAACGAACATTTGCTATGTGGCCAGGCACTTGCCGGACATGTCGCCATGCTCGTCGTATACTCAAGGTCGCTCCGGCGTGGTGAACCAACCAACCAACCTTTGACCCCTTTCCCGTTATGCGGAGGTATAATCGTTGCAAGTTGTCCTATTTGTTTGTTTGCAAAAAAAAAAAAAAATGCGGTGTTTTCCTGCCGCAAAGCCATACCTCTATATCTCATCGAACGTTTACAAAGCATAGGAAGTATATTAACTTTGGAATCTAATATTATCACCCGGCGCTTAAGAAATTAAGAATAAATTTTCTAGACAGATAATAGGGATCATAATTTTCATAAACGGGTTACTATTATTGTATGTATAGCCTCCTCAAGCTACAATTTTATATCGCGTCTAGTCGATATGACTATCGTAGAATTACCTGTAAAAGCGTGTTATATTTTTTTTACTCTCACTTTATTCATATGTTTGTAGTGGCAGCCAAAAATATTCTCTTACGTATTGAGTGGCCATTACCACTGAGACAGCTTCAGCCTACATAGACGGGGCTGATGGAGGGAAGTTCAGAGTAAAATTCTATTTTAAAACAATACTATCTATGGCATGTTTTTTTAGGCAGATAAGATAATATTGACCTATGAAACTGGTATGATATTATCTCCACTTACCAGCTTCAATACGAACGTCTCGACTTCCTAGGGTGCCATGCTCGTTATGAGCGACACACCTGTATACGGTCGAGTGCACTTCAGGCCGAATGTTCTTGGCATCAAAAGGCCGAAACACAAGTGAACCATCGCTCCTTACGTAACGTAGCCCGTCCGAAGATGATTCTGAGATTACCTCTCCGTCACTCTTATGCCAGACGATGCTCGGCTGAGGCGATCCGCCAGCGTTGCAGGTAACAACCACGCCCGCCGCGTTCGAGAATTGCACTGATGAAGGCGGCTCGTTGAGGAAATACAGTGGTAGACGCCGTAACTCTGTTTCAAAAACATAATGTAACAGCACTTAGTTATGCGATTTCGATATTTGTATGCCTCATTTCTCTGAATATAAATATCCTTTTTTGTTAAACCTAAGACGCTAAAAGAGCCAGGGAAGTTGAGACAACGTCAACACCGATGTATATATATATATATATATATATATATATATATATATATCGATAAGGAGGACACTTATTTAATTGTCTGTGTCGTTCTTGTTATTTACTTTCAACTCTGAAGACATTACGAGTGCAACAATGTTAAGGTCTATGCAAACAAACAGCCATCACGCCTTTTCCCGATGCACTTAAGGAGCCGTTCAGTATTTTGCCTACTTTCCTCTTTAATTTTTTTATTGTATAAGGTCAACTTTTTTTTCAACTTAGGAGAACGTGATATGTTCACGTTGCCAACTTATTCCTTTCCTGCTATAGATGCATTACGCTGCCGCCTTTAATTGGCTTAGTTTAAGTACTGCAGAGACGCTCGAAATACAAATCTTGCCCTTGTTCATTTTTTCGAAATACTCTCCCACGTCGTTCCCCGAACAGTCAATACAGCTCATTGTGGAAACGTGTACAACTGGCGTGTCTTCAATGTACAAATCCTTTTTGACTCATCGCAAACTATTTGCAGATTGCAGCTTAAGTTATTCATGAAGACAGGTTTGTTTGGAACAGCGGGTTTGAGTCAGCTCGCTCTTAAAAACGGTGCTTTCTCTTCTTTGGCCATCTTGAAGTAGAGTGATTAAGAAATAATATTGAATAATAATTAATCGAGTAAGGTTACGAAAAGTGAGACTATAGCTAGGATTTAGAAATACATGTTCTCACTAGACAATAGAATGATAGAGCTTTACATAGAGAGAACATTTGTTATGTATCTGCAAGCAGACCAAAAGGTGGTCAGTGTAAAAATAAATATCGAGAGAGGAACTTTTATACTGAGCGGAAAATAGCCGCAGATCTTCATACCGTTGCATTTGGGTGTCTCTATTAACAACGGCAGAAAGGCTGTGAAAATAAATACTATTTAAATTAAATTTAACTTTTTAACGATTACGTAAGACTATGGCCAGCTCGTCTCCTAACTATTGATCATTTCTTTTAAGTGTAAAATGATTGCCCAGAACAATCAAAAGTAAGATCGTGACAACAAAGCGATATGAAGTGCCGTGAGAAGACTGGTTACGTCGCTGAAAGCTGAACTGCAGTTAACACCGATAACGCCATGCCAGAACAGTCTCGCTTGACGATATCTGTACCGTTACAGAGCTGCCATGGTCGGAGGACAACATCATTTTCAGTTTAGGAGAACCTTTTGCTTAATCTACACACCGTACACAACGTTGTACAACTAAGAAATTCCACCCATTATTAGTCTATGATAATATCTACCCATGTGAATGCGCTCATGCACACATACCCATTTGCGCGTGTTCCTTGATCCTGTCAAAAAATAATCACCTAAAATGTGCCTGAAACATCTGTCTTGTTCTGTCAAGGACTGCGGAATTCTTCTGTGTTGAACGGATTCCAAGGGTGCCGATTCAGCCTGGGATTCTCTTATATGCGGGATTACCTTATTCGTGATATGAGAAGCTGAATTCTTCCATTCCTTCTACTTACAGTAAACCTTTAGCGTTCACCTCTCGTGGTCGGCAGCCTATCGGCTATAATCCCCTTTCAAGCCCAGTTACCTTAGGTTTGCCGTCATCACAAAACTGCCATGCAGCTTCCACTGATTTCTGCTGCCATTTAATAGAAAACATTCCATCTCAAGTAGGAACCCATTTAACTTTGGCACAAATGAGTTAGCCTCTGAATGTGACGGCTAGCCATATGTCACTGCGGCCGGTTCATTCATTGTGAATGAAAGAAGGTCTCGGAGGTGCCGTCGCTGCCTTTTAGCCCGTTTCGAGCCGCCTCAAGAATCGTTCGGGTAAGGTCGGTCGGTCGGTCGGTCGGTCGGTGGCCCGTTCTTCCGTCCCCCAGCTGTGAGGCAAAGACCGTTCAGAGAGACGCCGCAGCAGAAGAAAAATCCCACGTCCTCAGTCTCTTTTCGATGGAGAAGGAAAAAGAGGCGATGGCGGAATTTGCCACAGCTAGCAAGCCTCTGCTGCCACTGCCGCTACCACTGGCACTGCACTATTCCGTATTACGTACATACACACACCACTACGGATGGGAGTCTGTTTGAACATAATGGGAAGAAGAAAAAGAAGGAATGGGAAGCACGAGACGAGGTTTAGCGTTTTCTTTCTTCTCCCGCCGTCGCCGCCGCCGCTGCCATACGTGCATGCTCTAATGCATGCCCAGCGTTAGTTCTTCGTTCTTCTTTCTGTCGGGTCCACTTCAATTCATGGCTCTCAACCAGAAAGACCGTTTTCAAGCACGAGTCAAAGTGTGACTGAGCAGCAAACAATGGCCTATCCCTACTTGCTCCCGCCGAAAAATGCATAACGTAAGCTAACGGAATAAAAAAAAAATTATGACAAGATGGCCGGCATACAAGTTAGCCGATGTTTTTTAAAACTTTTTCACCATATTTTCGTTCATTTGCTCTCAGCCGCATTGGCTAAGTGCTAAGCTAATCCAAGTTCACCCGTAAATTCCCGCTCTATCCAGCTCATAGTGTAATATATCTTACAAGGCAAATTTGCACTACTAATGCCCCGGAGCAATCACATCCGTACCAAACTCGTGCAAATCGGGGTTAGGCGAACGCAAATCCGCTGCTGCCGCTTCTACCCCATGGTTGTTTATGTGGATAAGCCCCAAGCACGATAAATTTGACTGTAGCGTCGAGTGCCGTGAAGCTTACCACCTCACCCCACCTCAGCCGCTATCTTTATTCTGAAGTGAGCAAAGACCTATGATCTGAAAAGTTGCGCGTGAGCCGCGACCGCCTCCCTCTTGCCTTGTTAATAAGACAAATGGTCGAACATGTTTCAGGCTTTCCCCATAAAAGCAACGACCAGTCGTGCACACTTTTCCACCTCTAGCCGACGAAGAAAAGTTTAGCTTCATGCTTGTTTTTCACCTTAACCTAGATACGTTTCTCTAACATACCGATTGTATAATGCTCTTATGTAGCATTTTATGATTATTCCTTGAACCCTTTAGAATCGGCACGCTACCATAGGAAGCATTAAGCCAGCTTGAAGTAACTCAGCAGGTGACAAAATGGCCTAAAATTTAATTATATTAAAATTAATTAAATTTACCTCAATACATTAATATAGTCGTTTTGTTTGTCATTGGGAAAAAGTGTAGGCTTGTGCGCGTTCGTGTTTCGTCGCTTACATCTTATTTGAGAGCTTCCTTTGAATAAATCGCTGAAAATAGCAAAATACACCGGGTGCACATGTCCAGTGTACGATAGGGACTATCATAATGTTTTGATAAACAATTATAACAGCCTGCTCTAATAGGGTATATTCGAAGGTGAATCATCTTACCGGAACTCGAGTTAAACAGGCAGGCTTAACGGATTCTGGAAACGGCCAAACTTGAAGAAAGCAGTGCTTTTTATTTTTTTGTTATTCTTTCAAGCGTTATTGTCGTTTTTCCACAATTAATCTTTGCCAGTGAGTACCGGCAGAAAAGCCTCGTAAAAGATATTTTCTTTAACGTTTTCGGTTAAATCTACTGTATGACGAAATTTTCGGAACTGCCTCTTCGGCATAGCATCATGGACTTGCCCTCACTAAAAGGTCTAGCTCTGATGGGTCTTGTTGGATTTATCTGGAGTTTCTTCGACAAATCTGTGAATTGGCATAGTAAATCTAAGAGATGAGTATGCATGAGTGACTATGCCTGCACTGAAGAAAAGGCGATAGTAGAAAAGCGCTGACAGAACCGTGCTTAGTAAACGGGAAGGGCCTATCCAAAATCTAGCGTTGAGAGCGGACATTGTGGTATAATTCTAAAAAAGGCGGACGTCGCCGCACGAGTTAGTGTCCTAGATCCACAAGCCGTTTGTGGGAATATTAGAAAAGAAAAACCACAGAGTTCGCCAATGGCTGTAACAGAATAGTCTATGATCCAGGGGTACCCGGAAACTCATACGTCGGTGGCAGACATAACCGCTGGCCTACACCGACCTTGTTCGTTACCCAGATTATAATGTATTGTTTATATTCTGCAATGTCTCGAACTGAGCCGTGTGTTGGCAACCATACCGGCGGATCAAGTTCTGCACTACCCTGCGAACAAAAGTATTATTGTTAGTGTTATACTCGAACTGGGCTTATTAGTGAACATAACTCATTGATTTTAATGCTACTTTGTAATCATGAAACACGTTCATGCTGACTGAATTTTGTTCTCAATCCTATTAAAGCCTCACCTTATCTCTCTAAGAACATACTTACAAGAATAAACCTTATATAGCTTTATAGTTTCAGAGCAGGAATGTTGACACTGCAAGGTTTCTGGGTTATATTGCTGGGGTCTACCTCCAGGTGGTGCGATTAGCCAAAACGAAAAATCTGCACTAATGCATTTGCGCCGGAGGCACGATTTCATGGCATGGTGACTTTCGCTAGCGGAATCCCTCCCGGCTTAGGCTTTACATTTTCCTAATCACAACCTTGCACGGAGGTGAACGAGGCTGACTGGATCTGAGCGGGGATTCACCAGTGCTATATTTACTGATGCAAGCGCATTACTACAGATTTTTGCTGTGTTCGTAATCACATTATCTGGCGGTGAACCCCAAAAATGGAACTTAGAAATCTTGCAGTGCCAATATTCCCCACCGTTGCAGCTGCATACTACCCGCAACTGCGGAATAACGGCAGCTGTAGGTACCTAAATCGGAATCCCACCTAAACGAGATTTCGAGATCTGAAAGATTACAGGTTTCCATTGCCCCACCCAAGCATTGTTAGAATAAACTAATCATTATTTATAACTAAATGTACCATTGTCATTTAAATATATTACAATGTAAGTTACGGTAAGTAAAAATGAAAAGCAGCAAATTCTGTT